TATTTTTTTTAATTTGGCTGTTGAACTTTATATATTTTTATTGTTTCAGATTTTGCTCACTCCAGAATTTTTGGAACTCAGGCGCATCGATGCGATTGCGAAGAACAACAAAATATATTACGGCGAACGTATCCCAAGCGCCTTCCTGTCGGCACTTTCTTCTGATAAAAATGCGAATGGCGTTTGAAACAGAAGAGATCGATTTATGCTAATTATGAATGTGGCGTGATTCGATTTGCGTTAAATCACTGAATGACATTTAAATTTGTCTGCACACCGACTTCATTGTTTTTGACAGTGTTGTTAAATTTATAAATGGTTTTGTTTTTCTCTGTTGCTCAGCAAATTTTTCACTGATAAATTCGTAAAAGAAATTTTGATAGCACTTGTTCTAATTTCTAATTGCATGGTTATTAGTACAAAGTTAAAATTGAATTTATTATCGACGGATGTATCGAACGAATGGGCACCGGTTGAGATGGTTGATAGTGAACTAACCGGTTTGGAGGGACGTTAATGTATTTCGTTTCAGAGACAACCAGGTATTCCCAGCGACAGCGATTGCTAGTTGCCTGCTGTGCGTGATTGACTGCCGCGGCAAACCAATCTGACTAATAGTTTTTATAACGTGGATCTGTTGTTCACCGCGAAGTCGCAACCGTTCAGATTGTGAACGTTTAGGGCCCTAGAGAAGGTTTTTAACACTTTGTTGGTCAAACCAGGGCCTGAGTGGCACTCTACGACTATCAGAGGTTTGCAAATAGTATGATTCTTTCAGGGTCACCAGAAAAACTACGATAAAGAATCTAAGAGCTTACCGACCCAGCGTTAAATTGACTGTGTAGACGAACAAATACGTGAATTTCGACCTATTGAAATCTGCATTCGTCGACTTGAAAATGGTCTAAACTACGTCTCTTTTAACAGCTCATGTCTGCAGTGGGGAATCATTTATGTGAAATCAACGGAAAAAGAAAATGGCATAAAACACTTAGGAAGAGTGAAAATGTCCCTGTCCTCGAAAC